AGTGAAAGGGAAGAAAGGGGGTCGGCGAGGAAGAGGGGCCGGCAGCCATAGCTGACCGGAGGTGTTGACCGGCGTTTACCGGAGTTGACCGGGGTTGACCGAGGGTTGACCGCAGCGTTGACCAAGGCGTTGACCAAGACTTTGACCAAGCTGGAGTTGGTAACATCTCGCCAAGCCCTCAGCCTATCCCTTGCCCTATGGATGTGCACACACCCCTTGGTACTTGCTGAGTCCAGTCTGTCTGTCTATTCTTTCTGCATCCAGTCTCTTCTGCCCTAGGTGATAGTACTCTGTGGATGAAGGATAGGGTCTTGTTGACCAAACCCACACAGGATGAGTAGGGCTAAGAGCTGTGTCTGACGACTCGACTGTCCCGGAGGTCAAACCCTCCCAAGGACCGGTACTGACCGGCGGGCTGCTCGGTGTGGCACGGTAGGCCTCGAAATCCGAGCTGTGGGCTGCACAACAGACCGTCTAAGTCTTGAGAGACCTGCTGATCGCGTCGTCCTGTCTGCGACGTTAAATAATTCCTGAGGAGTTCGGGGGATCTCCTTAAATGCCTCCTGATCAGCAAAGGTGTAGTAGTGACAGCCATAGTTAGGTCTAGGCTAGAGACCATAGTTGACAGGATCCCTGTCAGGATTCTGTGAGTCTTAGATTGAGTCAGTAGGTCTGTCAGTCAGGGGTTAGAGTCGACGTGGTGAGGTTTGGAACCACCACCCGGTTGTGCACTTTTCACCATGGTTGAGACCCGCAGTGGGAAGGACACTAGCCCCTACACCAAGGAGCAGCAAGAAAAAATGGCCGCCTTAGTTAAGGAGAATAGGGAGAGAAAAGAGCGCGAGAAGCAAGCGAAGTTAAAGGCGATTGCAGAGGAACAGGCGGTGAAGATGAAGGAATTGGAGGAGGAGATGGAGAAAAAGAAGAAGGCTGTTGAAGAAGAAGCGGCAGCAGAAGAAGAAAAAGAGAGAATGTGTATTGAGAGTAGAGAAGGGAGTAGCGGCATGAAGAGAGATACAGACATAGAGATGGAGAAGAGAATAAGTGAGTGGGTTGCTAATTTATCGTTGGGAGAAGACGAGGAGGCGGAGTCTTACGTGACTGAGGATGAGAGGGCTGCGCTAGCCAGTGAGCTAGCAGCAATGACAGATCCTATGGAACGGCGAGAAAGGGAGGAGGAGCAGAAATTGGCATGGAAGTTGAGGATGAAGAGGGAGAAGAAGAGGAGGAGAGAGGAAGTCAATAAACTAACCGCAGAGGTGGCAAAGGTGCAGGAGTGCAGGGAGGAGGTGTTGGCCCAGCCGGGTGACAAGCCCAAGTGGGATAAGGTATTGGGGTACCTAGAGGTGCTGAGCAAAGCCTGGATGGAGGAGCGCCAGGCCAGTTGGAGCCAAGACGTAGCTTTGAGTGCCATGCGGTCGGGGTTCAGAGACTTTGCGCGCGAGATCGTCACCCACATTGGGGGCGAAGTCAGGCAACTAAGGGACAACGTAGGGAAGTTTTGTGAGGGCGCTATCGAGGGCGCCAAAGCCATAGCCGCTGTAGAAGGCGAGGCCAGGCCTCGCAAGGACCCAGTTAAGCTTAAATTCCCAGATGCTTATGGAGGGAAGAAGGAAGAGAACTTTGACAAATGGGAAGCCAATGTCAATAGTTATATATATCTACAACACATCCTGATAGAGGAACAAGTCCTCGTGGCCTTCCAGGCCCTTAAGGATGAGGCGGCTAGCTTTGCCAGGTCCCTTGCGCGCGCAGCCGGTTGTGAAAACAACATGGTTGCATATTCAAAAGTCACCCCCCTTTCTCAATTCCTCATGCTCCTGAAGGAGCAGTTTGCAGACCCAACGAGAGGCGTTCGCGCCTCTGATAAGCTGCAAACGATCCACTCATGACAGTGGAGGAGTGCAAGAGCAGTCAAGGGTACCATGGACGACTTGGTAGCCGTCCCGGACCATGGGGTCACTGAGACCCAGTTGGTCCAGTTATTTTATCGTGCCATGCCAGAGGCCCTACGTGGGCATTTCTTTGACAAGTCTCAACAGGTCGGCATCACTTACGATGCGTTGAGTAGAGAAGTCGTCCTGTATGAGTCAAAGTCCATGCCAGTTACCACTTTCTGGCATAGGGACTTAGATAAGGGAAAAAAGTGGAAAGGTCGTAAGATCTCAGGCCAAGTAAGGGCCAAGGATCACATGATCCTTACTTTAGAGGAAGGTGGTACTGACGAGGTCCCATACAGTCAGATTGAGTGGGGCCTAGAGGAAGAGGACAGTAGCGTGGGACAGGGGAGGTCTTATGCTGCTGTCGCGGCTGGAGGGAGGCCTCCAGTTAGAGGAGGAGGCCAGGGCCAAAGGCGCCAGGCCATGGGAGGCCGAGGACCGAGCGCACAGGGGGTTGGCGGACAGGGAAACCGCCAAGTGAGAGGTAGGGGTCAAGGTCCCCCGCCAAATCGCCAAGGTTCCAATCGGTCCCCACAACGAAGAGGTGGAAGGGCACCTCAAGGAGAATGGCACCCAGGCTTGCCACAGGGCAGGCCCTGGGAAGATTTGGGCTTGGACCAGGGGTTATGGCAGAAACGCGTGAACTTGGGGCAGTGCGTGTTTTGTGGTGACCCAGCCCACGTGATAAAATTTTGTTCAAAGTATAGACAGGCCCGTTGGGCTGCCCAGCAGTCAAAAGGCAGCCGCCAGTAGGGGTCGCAACTGCCCCTACTTCAAGGCCATGTGGAGAAGTGAGCGCGCGCGAACAGGACACTCCCAACCCACATGAGCCTATGGCAGAGGTTGCAGGCCCGTGCCTAGATAGTTGTCCAGAGACTGCTTGTGTTAGCGTCTCTTTAGGCACGTCCCTCACTGGTGTGGCAGAAAGATAAAGAAAGAGAGTAAAGGACGACTGATTTTGGTAGATATAGAGGTGTTTCGAAGTAGAGTAGGGGCCCTTATAGACTCAGGGGCCACCCGGAGCTATATTAGCCGCAGAGCGCTGAAAAAGTTAAGGCTAGGATTAAAAGTCCAGAAATTGGCAGACCCCATAGTTAGTGTCCTCGCAGACAACCGCACAATGCGTGTTGAGGACTACGTAGAGGGAGTTCAGGCGTACTTTCGCCTAGAGAAGGATGGGAAGGTGGAGAAAGTTCTCCATTCCCTGACTCTCCTCGTGCAGGATGACCTTCCTTTCGATGTAGTATTGGGAATGGATTGGGAGAGGCAGCAGGAGCCACACTCCACTTGAGAGAGCATGAGTGTAGGCTCCCTAGTCCATCAGGCGATGTTAAGACTGCCCGCATGTTTCATGTGTCAGGTGTAGATAACACCTTGGCACATTGCTGTCTCAGTGCTCCCGCGTTCACGCGGTTAGTGAAGAAGGAGCGATTAGAAGAACAAGTCTTTGTAGTTTATGTTAGACCTGTCACTGAGGCCAAGAAAGCGGATAGCTCCACAGATCCAATCATTGCCAAGCTACTGGAGGAGTTCAAAGATTTGACCGAGTCGCCGACAGGAGTAGTGCTGCGACCCATCCAGCACCGGATAGAGATAGAGCCTGGCAGTAGAACTCCTAAGGGTGCAGTCTACAGAATGTCCCCTAGAGAGTTAGAGGAGTTGCGCAAGCAGTTAGATGAGCTCCTAGAGAAAGGTTGGATCAGGCCCAGTTCGTCTCCTTTTGGAGCACCTGGCCTGTTTGTCCCGAAAAAGGAAGGAGAGCTGAGAATGTGTATAGACTACAGGGGTTTGAATGCGATTACCGTGAAGAATGTTGAGCCGCTGCCCAGGATAGATGATCTTTTAGATCGAGTGCAGGGTTGCAAGTATTTTTCTAAGATAGACCTGAAGTCCTGTTATCATCAGATAGAGGTCCATCTTGATGATCAGTATAAGACTGCGTTCTGGACTAGATATGGGCACTATGAGTTCATAGTGATGCCCTTTGGACTGACTAACGGGCCAGCTACATTTCAGTGTTGCATGAATGATTTGTCTAGACCCTGGTTGGATAGGTTTGTCGTAGTTTATTTAGATGACATCTTAGTTTTCAGCAAGACCCTCCAAGAGCATCAGGGTCATCTGAGGCAGGTCTTGGAGAAGCTTAGAGAGGCTAACTTCAAGATCAACGCGAAAAAGTGTGAGTGGGCCAAGACACAAGTCCTGTACTTGGGCCACGTATTGGACGGAGACAGCATTAAGCCAGAGGACAGCAAGATCGCGGCGATTAGAGACTGGCCGACGCCCCGCACATTGACAGAGTTGCGGTCGTTCCTAGGCCTAGCTAATTATTATAGAAAGTTTGTGAGGAACTTTTCTACTATCGCCGCTCCCCTGCGCAGATTGCTTAAGAAAGAGGCAATCTGGCAATGGGACAAGGATTGTACGTCTGCGCTCAAGAAGTTAAAGTGTGCGTTAATAGAGTACCCCGTCCTCAAAGTAGCAGATCCGTCTTTGCCATTTGTCGTCACCACGGACGCAAGTCAGTATGGGATAGGTGCCATGTTGCAGCAAGACGACGGAAATGGCTACAGACCAGTAGAGTTCATGTCAGCGAGGATGCCCTCAGAGAAGGTAGCCACCTCGACGTACGAGAGAGAACTCTACGCTCTCAGGCCGGCTCTAGAGCACTGGAAGCATTACCTGCTTGGGAGGCACTTCAAAGTGTACTCTAACCATGAGACCCTTAGATGGTTAAAGACTCAGGCCAAGATGACACCTAAGTTGACTAGGTGGGCCGCAGAGATAGACCAATATGACTTTGAGCTTAAGCCAGTGAAGGGCAAGTACAACGTAGTTGCGGACGCTCTGAGTAGGAGATCAGACTACTTTGGAGCCATAGTACACTATCTGGATATAGGGAGAGACCTGCAGGAGAAAGTGAAGCAAGCGTATGCGCAGGACCCTATCTATAGCGACCTCCTATCTATAGCGACCTCCTAAAGTTAGAGAGGCCCCAGAGACTGAGCCAGATTACCGCACTACAGACGGGTTGCTGTTTGAGAAGACTAACGTATTTGACCGCCTGTGCGTTCCCAACAACGAAGAGATTCGTAGTCTAATCCTAGGGGAATGCCACGATACTGAGGGACACTTCGGTTGGCAAAAGACTTTAGCCAACCTGATGCGTGCATTCACCTGGCCAGGAATGAAGAATGACTGCATAGAGTATGTCCGCAGTTGCAAAGTATGCCAGCGCAATAAGACTACTACGCGCGCACCCCTTCTCAGACCCTTGCCTATTCCGGATCAGCCGGGAGACTCAGTAACCATAGACTTCATGGACACCCAAGTCAAAAGCAGACATGGTAAAAGCCAAGTCATGATCATAGTTGACCGATTTAGTAAGTACGCAGTTTTTGTTCCTTTGCCTGCAGAGGCACGCACAGATTTAGTAATACAGTTCTTTGACTTTTGGGTTAGTGCGAATGGAATCCCATTGTCAATAGTTAGCGATAGAGATAGTCGTTTCACCAGCCAGAACTGGCAAGAACTCATGAGAGTCTATGGATCTAAGTTGTTAATGTCGTCTGGCCGCCATCCAGAGACAAACGGTCAGACAGAACAAATGAATAAGATCCTACAGCAAGTTTTGCGCATGTACATTAGACCCGATCAGATCAACTGGGACGAGATGTTGCCCAAGGTAGCTAGCGCATACAACAACAGCGTGCATTTGTCCACCTGTCGCACTCCCAATGAGCTGCACAAGTCCTTCAGACCACGCAGACCATTCGAAGGACTGAACCGGGATCAAATTCACAGACTACCGCCCGGTACCAGGGAGTTTGCGATACAGCACGAGAAAGAGCTAGCAACAGTTGTAGAGAATCTCAGGAAGGCCCAACATAGAATGATAGAACAGGCTAATAAGCACCGTCGCCCGTCACAGTTTCAGGTAGGCGACTTAGTCTGGGTCAAGGCTAAAGAGTTTGCACCTGAGGAAAACATCTCGCAGAAGTTATTGCCTGCATATAGAGGACCGTGGCCGGTTGTAGAAGTCAAGGGCGGAGAGGATGGACCATCCTACACTATAGAGATTCCAGCACACCTCCACACATACCCTGTCTTTCATGCTTCAAAGTTGTTGCCGTGTGTCACAAGTCAACAGTTCCCTTCAAGAAGATCCATGATCCCTCCGGATATGGATGGAAGTTATGACATTGACGGCATTGTAGATGAGGATGTGTTCAGAATAGGAGGTAGAGGTCGTCCCCAAAAACAGTATAAGGTCCGGTTTGCTTACCAGGAACCAGAAGACTACCGCTGGTTTACACGAACAGAACTTCTAGAGACAGCTCCTGACATAGTCAGAGCCTACGAGCGCGACAAGAAGGGTAAAGGTCCTGCCTTGGGCTGAAATATTATCGGAGGACCTCGAATTTAGGACGGCGGGAGTGAAACGGTTTTCACCTTTTAGCAGTAGCAGAGGCAGTACCCAGGGCTCGATCCCTAGACCTCACCATACCCTACTGTGACTTCCTGAATTTGACTAACTTGGCCTTTCTTGGCCAGGGCCTCTGACCCTGAGACCCGAATTTGGGGTCTGAAATTCTCTGAATCGTGGAAGGCCTTTCACCTCGTTCTCTAGAGGCCTAATTCAAATTTTGGCTTTTCTGTTTCTTACGAGGCATGTACATGGTTTATCCCCTCCCTGACCTCGTGTTACAGTTTGGACTTGGGTACCTGGCAGTTGTATAGGCTAGATTCTGAGGCGGATTTGCATGTTGCATTGTATCTAGTCATACCACAGTACCACTCTATTGCTTTTGGTAACCTGGGGATATCGGTTATAGTCTTGGCTTCTAAGTAGATGTGCCCGCTCGTTGTGCTCACTAAGGATTGCATCTTAGTGTTGTACTTTCGCTGGGTGGATCAAATCATTGGAAAGCACAATGTTTCTATTCAATCACAAACAATATGGACTGAGAGGTAACATCCCATCTAAGGGTCGTGGCACTCCGGACGAAGTGTGAGTGCCATCGTCTGTGGTGGGAGCACCATTCAGTGGGGTAGGAAGCAAACTTGAACTGTATCCGTGGTGATCTGGCTCCGTCGAACTGTAGATCTTATTGGAGATGTAAGGGTGCATGGTGGGAAACCCGTCTAGGCGGTTCAGGCGTCCTTTAGATTGCAGATCTGTTGGGTTAAGGTTGATCAAAATGATATTTCTGGTGGGATGAGCCCGCTCGTTATGCTTACTAAGAATTGCATCTTAGCGTTGTAGTTTCGCTGGGTGGATAAAATCATTGGAAAGCACAATTTTGCTACTCAATCACGGACAACGGAAGAGGTAACATCCCGTCTAAGGGTAGCGGCACTAGGGAGGCAGTGTGAGTGCCGCCGACTGTGGTGGGAGCGCTATTCAGTGGGGTAGGAAGCAGACTTGAACTGTATCCATGGCGATCTGGCTCCGTTGAACTGTAGATCTTATTGGAGATCCAAGGGTGCGTGGTGGGAAACCCGTCTAGGCGGTTCAGGCTTCCTTTAGATTGCAGATCTGTTGGGTTAAGGTTGATCAAAATGATATTTCTGGTAGGACGCTGGAGCCAATTTCCAGCAAAGCCGCAGCTGGGTAATGGCCCCAGTACAGGTAGAATTGTGAGGTCCCCGACCTCAAGCGGATTTCAAAACTGTATTTTCCAGAAAAAAAACAACACAAAAGCTGGGCTGGCGGTAGACACCAAGGCCCTGGCTCCACTACTCTCCACATGTATCTTTCCATGTCCCAGCGGAGGATTCCGTCTCGGTACTGGGCGGGTAGAGCAGGCGTTGGAAGGTGGGTAGGTACTGACTGGGGATCGCTGCGGAAAACAAACAGCCAAAAAATACAGCAATGTATATTTCCATGTTCCAGCGGAGGACTCCGTCTCTTTTGCACATTTGGAGGGCAGTGCAGCGAGGCCCTAAGCGCCTGTACTGCGCTGGCGGTCAACTTGGGGCCGTTATCGGCTGCGGGAAACTGGGCCAAAAGGTACCGTCCGTGTGAACGAACGGCCCAGATTCCAGGCCTATCACTTTCGCGGACGGCGCAGATCTCTCGCTGATGACAATCGTGAACGGACCAGATTCCAGGCCGATCACTCTCACAGACAGCGCAGATCTCTCGCCGATGAGAAAAAGGTTCTCATCGGCGAGAGATCTGCGCCATCGGCGAGAGTGATCGGCCTGGAATCTGGGCCGTTCCTTATGTCGATTAGCGGTTTCTCATCGGCAGGAGATCTGCACTGTCCGCGAGAGTGATCGGCCTGGTATCTCGGCCGTTCCTTGTGTCGATTAGTGGGCTTCTATAGTATTGTAGATGTAGATCCTTTTATCTAGCCTCTGGCGTCTGAGGGCCTGGTTGGAACTGGACTGTGCAGATCGGCCTGGAATCTGGACCGTTCCTTATGTCGATTACCGGTTCCTATAGTATCGTAGCTGTAGATGTAGATCCTTCTACCTAGCCTATGGAGTCTGAGGGCCTGGTTGCACCACTCGCCATCCACCAAGATTTTGAATGAATCTGAACATGGCATATGTTGTGATTCATTCAAAATGTTGTCGGATGGCCAATGGTGCAACTAGCTACCGAGTCCTGAAAGATCCAGGGTCTAAACCCTGATTAGGCGTCGTCGTATTCGAGCCATGGTTGTCAGATAGACTGGTTTTTTACTACCGCCTCACCCCGAAAAGAATGCCCGATCATTATCGCCTGCATCTGGACCGAAAGTTGTGCCAAATACAGCGATAATGACCGGGCGTTCCTTCTTTTTCTCAATTCAAAAAGAGCGATGACCTTGATATATCATCGACCCCAGCTACTTCAGGATGATTGTATTCTCGTCATTTTGGTTGCATTGCGATTTGAACTCCGGTCTTTATTTCAACAGTTCATGTGTGTACCAACTGAGCTAGGCCCATTGGTATGACCGGGCATTCTATTCGAGTGAAGACTGTAGAACTCAGGTTTTGGGAGTTTCATTGTTAACTTTTATAGTATTGTAGATGTAGATTTCACTTCTGAGGGGATACTCACACTAGGACTTTTGTTAGACAATTCATACTTGAGTTATGAGAAATCGGAACTTATCTAATCTGCTGCAACTTTTTTGATTTGACACTTATGACAACAATTCAGCAATTGAGTAGAAGAAAAATAGAAAGCCTATTGGGAGATGCACAATGTAATTTTGATGGATGTTATAGATAGGTATATACTATATAGGGGAAAGGAATAGGAAAATGCTGGGGGCATCAATGGCAGATGGACAATATGATTCTGATGGATGATATAGATATAGGCCTAGAAATGTTGGGGCTATAAATGGTGGAAGGCAGAATACGAAATTTGACGTCGAGGGTGGGTATAGAATCACTATAGATAGATACATGGCAGTTGAAACAGAAACCATGTAAGCTTTGAAGTAGCGATAAAGCTAGGTAGGCTTTGGATTGAAGGAAATATAGATGATGATTGGACAAGCAGGCCTCAGGGACTACCCCGGAACAACCACCCCCCCCCCCTGGGTCCTGCCCAGCGGTGGACTACCCTACTGCGTGTCTGGGTGCTGCAAGTAAGCCTCCCGGCCAATAGGGTAGCCCACTGGGGGAGGGCAATGGTTGGGGTGGGGAGTGCGGTGCAGCCCCCCCTTCCTTAGGCAACTAGCCACAAGCGTTAGGCTGACCGTCTTTTTCTGTCTTTTTCTGTCTTTTTCTCCCATTGTTTTTGTACAAACGTGCTTGGCGGGGATAAGCAACCAGACTGTTGCCCCCCAGAAAAGTAAGGGGCCTGTGTTGGTTTGGAAAAAAAGAAAAAGAAGAAACTTCAACAAAGTCTCCTGCTCTTAAAAACTGTCTTCAAAGACGGGGGGAGTCTGTATTAGAGTGTATGTGTGACTCGTTAAGATTTTAGAAACTAGGACTTAAGTCAAAGATAGCATAATAACTCAGTCATCTCCGAACCGTACGAGATAGCTAGGCTACCAGAGTGGCCCGGGGTCACTTGCCCGGCCAAGCCAAGAAGATTTGAAAAAAAAAAATATATATATATATATATTTAAAAATTTTAATTTTTATTTTATATTTTAAATTTGGTAAAGAATTTCGATGTGACCCTGAGGCAAAAGTTGTTCACTGCATAAGGTAGTTTATTTTTCGGATTTTTTGGATTGTTTTTTTTTTTTTT